GGAAGCTGTGGCTGCCCCATCCCTGGCAGTGTTGAAGGGCAGGTTGGATGGGGCTTGGAGCAACCTGGGCTGGTGGGAGGTGTCCCTGCCCATGCAGGGGGTTGGATCTAGATGATTTTTAAGGTCCTTTCCAACTTTAACCACTTTATGAGTCTATGATTCTACACCCCAAGCAGAGGACTCCACCTCTGTAGACCCAACTCCTGACCAAAGCCAAACCATTTGGATGTCAAGGGGCATCGTGGCATCTCCCTCCTCCTCCTCAACTCCATGAAGCCAAGCAAAGGGATCACACAGTTTGGGATGGGGGGAGAAGGAGCTGGAGAAATGAATGCTCAGAGTCACATGGGAGCCAGGACACGTGCAGGAGAGGAGGAGGCTGCTGCCCTTGCTGAGCTTTTGTCCCAGCTGTGATCACTCCCAAGCCACTGCTGAGAGAAACAGTTTCAAGCAGCATGAATGGAATGACAACACAGCAGGTTTCCCAGGAATGCTGCCCTGGGTCATCACAGAGCTTTCCTGGGAAAGAGAAATTAAAAAAATCAGCGTGTGGTTCAAAAAGAAGAGCTGAAGGGAAAGAAAAAGAAGCCAGGCAGCATCTCCAGCCTCCTCTGAGAACCTGAAACACACCAAAATGGTGAGGGATGGAGAGCTGAGTCTGTCTGCCCAGAACAGGAACATGTCCAAATGGGTTTGGAACTTCTCCAGAGGAGACTCCACAGCGTCTCTGGGCAGCCTGTTCCAGGGCTCTGTCACCCTCACAGTGAAGAAGTTTGTCCTTATGTTTAACTTGACCCTCCTGTGCTCCAGCTTGTGCCCATTGCCCCTTGTCCTGTCCCTGGGCACTGCTGAGAAGGGCCTGGCCCCATCCTCCTGACACCCCCTGGAGATACTGATCAGCAAAGATGAGATCCCCCCTCAGCCTCCTCCTCTCCAGGCTGAACAGCCCCAGCTCTCCCAGCCTTTCCTGCCAGGGCAGATGCTCCAGTCCCCTCAGCATCTTTGTGGCCTGTGCTGGACTCTCCCAGTAGCTCCTTATCTTCCCTGAGCTGGGGAGCCCAGAACTGGACCCTCTGGCTGGTGACCATGTGTGGGGAAGAAGTAGAAGAGCACCTCAAATTCACACCAAGGGTAGGCTGGACAAAGGCAACATGAAACCCACTGATTAGAAGAGCCCAAGCAATTCTTCAGCCCCATTTAGTTGTACAACTAAATGCTGAGATCAAGAAAGGCACAGAACAGCAAGAGGGACTGGCTGATAAGGCTGCAAACACTGATTTATTCTTCCCCTGGGCAGAATTAATGCTCAGTGTGACATGGGTTGGGAAAGCACCAGAGATAAAACAACACCTGATGCCCCAGGGAGGAGATGACAAAGTTCAAATCCTGTGACAGGTCTCAAAAAGGGAGACAGCTTCTTCCTCCCCCTGAGGGAGGAATTGCAGGACACCAAGACAAAAAAACAAACCAACCAGGGATGGCTGGGAGGGAATTGGGCCTGCCTGTCCATGAAGTGGAGGCTTATCAGTGGAGAAATGATAATGGCCCATGTATTTGATTCCAGGAGGTCCTCAAGGACAGTTTTTAACAGCTATGGGAGCTCATGCTGCACTCCCTGAACTTTCACAGGCTCACTCCCCCAGGGTTTGAAACTGTACCAAAATGTAGGTGATATCCTGACCCAGTGAACTTCCCATGAGAAGGGGAGGGAGTGACAACAGAGACCAGCAGTAGACAAAGCAGAGATTGAGATTCCATCTGGAGAATGTTCAAGGGACCAAGTGAAGAAGTAGAATTTTGCTCGAGCAAAAAGGGTAAATGGAAAAAAAAAAGTGGCAAGAAAAGGCTGCTGCATTAGGTACTATCCCCAGCAAACAAGCCAGGGGAAGGCAGAGCACAAGTAGGAAGCTCTTCTGGCAGCACCAAATGGAGCAAAAATCAGACATGTGGCCTCCAGTGCTGGGTGGGCTGGTGTCAAGGGGAGAACCTTGGACTGGGAAGTGAGCAGACCCCCAGTCTGGAGCCACAAGGACTGGCAGTTACCACCAGGAAAACACCTTTCAGGGTGGTATGGGCAAACGTTGATGCTCCATTAGTGCCATCTGCTCGTGTCCCCAGGTCCCCTCCTGTAGCCGAAGGACTCGTGGCATGGCAGGCAGGCCTCCTGCAGCTTCTCCTGCCTCCTTCCCACCGCAGGCAGGCAGGGCAGGGCTCCTCCCGCACCCACCCGGCTGTGGGTGGGGACCAGCTGCTCTTGCTTCAGCCTCCCGCCCAGGAATGGAACTGTTTCTTCTGCTTGCCCTGAAGGAAAGGTGGTTCAGGCACGGGTTTATCCCACCCTGTGACAGTTATCACGACCTGCCTCCAATTAGACATCCCAGCAATTAGGCAGAGGATCACAATTAGTACCTGCAGCAGACCCGGAGCTCTGTCCTCCACAGAGCAGTTGTGTGGGTTTCCCAGCTGCTGGGAAGTGCTCCCCTCAATCCCCCAGGCTCTCCTCAGCTCCACTTCTATAGATATTTGCAAGACAAAGGAGGAACTTCCTTTATGCAGGGATCTCCAAGTACCTTTGTAAGCCTTAATTTAAGCCTTTTGACAAGCCCCAGAGGCAACTCTGCCACCCTAGTACTTTCTTCCTGCCTTGCACATCACCACTAAGATTGGTTCCAGCTCCCTGTGCTCTCAGGTGACCCGGCCTAAATTCTGAATCTAAAAATGCCACGTTATCCCCTTCCTCCTAAGTGATCCCAGCCCATGCCCTGCAGCACGTGGTGCCAGGAGAAGCTGGTCAACACCTGCCAACACTTCGGGAGCAGCTTAAGCCTGATTTGTAACAGATGAACACCCTGATCAAGGACATGGTGTTTTGAGCTGGTATGAGGAACCTTATTGTCAGATTCTCTGCCCTGCCAAGGCAGGGACTAAGGGGGGAAGGATAAGCAACTCCAACCAGGCAGAGCCTCCAGGTCCAGTCACAGCTGCAACCACCAGAAGACCCATTTCTGGGTGAGCAGGAGAAATGAGGTTGACTGCAAATCTCAAGGGAGCCAGGAGGCATCTCTTCTGCTGCCTGCACTAAGAAGCTTCAAGGAAGATCCTCTGACAGGTGGGCAGCTTTCCCCATGCTAAGAACACCAGTAAAACCATGCAGGTCACACCACGAAGGCTTCACTGGCAAAATGCAAAGTTGATGACCACAGAACCACACCAGCCCTTCGTGTGAGCCACCAGCTCTGCTCACACAAGGATCCTCCTGACTCCACCCCCAGGAGCTCTGAACTTTCCGCTTTCAGTGGAAGGAACAAAAATAAGAGAGTGGAGAGGTTTTCCTTTGTGGGGAATAGATAAGGAAAGCAAAACAGACCCTGATCACCTCTTCCCTGGTGTTTGAAGGTTGTCCCAGCAGGCAGGATGCACATTCTGTACCAAAGGCCTGAAATTTGGGGCTGTCTAGTTAAAAATAAACTCTGTGGGCCAGGAGAGCTCAGCTACAGCAGCATGTTCTGGCAGCCCCCACTTTGCTCCCATTCCCCTCAGGTTTCCAAGGAAAGGCTGGACTGGGAGAGCCCTGGCTGCTCTGGCCCACAGTGTCCCAGGGTTGCCCAAGTTTTCCATGCCAGCTGATTAATTTTTGAAGCCCAAAGGGGCTGTGATAGGCACAGTTTGACTTCACTCCCTTGGAAAACACCCACCCCAGCCTTCCACAGGGGCCCAGCCTGGAGCACCCAGCTGGGCAGGTGTCACTTTGGTTCACAGTTGCCCTCTGCATCCCTACCCAGTCAACAGATAGAAAAGGGCAAAGGCTGAGCTGCTTTCAGTCCATTTTTTCCCCATCTCTGATAAAACCAGCCTGCAGACCCAATGATTTAGCAAGCAGGTGAGGCCCAAACCCTTCACTGAGCAGCTACAAGAGGCAGTTCTTCAGGGACAGAACTTTTATTAAGTTCCTGAAGGGGAAATGTTTGTTGGATGGTGACTGCTGCTGGGAAGGGGAAGCCAGCAGAGCTATGGATCAGGCTTTGGAGAGCAGGGATGTCCATGCTGGGAGGGGCTGGAATTATCCCCATCCCCAGGACTTGTCCAGCACTCTCCTCTCTATCAACCCTTGGGGGAACCTCTGGACCTGACCCACTGGGAATTCCTTCTGTAGCCTCCTCAGGAAGGAGAACAGGTGAAATACCAGGGGCCCAGAGGAACGTTACTCCTTCTCTGTGGGACACCAGAGTGTTTTCCCACGTGAAAGCAGCATGTTCTTGGCTTTGGTTTCTGCAAGTGAGGTACCACATGTTGGTGAGGTACCACATGTTGGTTTGGCACCAGGTGGAAGACAACCACCCTGCTCCTTCAGTTGAAGAGCTCGGTGCCATCTCAACCCAGCTTCCTGTTGGGTTTATCTCCAAATCACCAGGGGTGGGGGGGAGGCAAACAAAGATGATTTACATGCCCAACCATCAGCTCTGCTTTGCCAAGTCCCTTTCTTCAAGGATCCTCTTCACACACTCCACAATGGTCCACACTTCTGCCATGGCACCTCGACCTGCCGGGTAGGTGCAAAAGCACAGGGTGAAATCCTGCTCCCACAGAAATGACACCTCCTGTCCCACCTCCTCACTTCTCCATTGCTGTGGGAAATGGGATGTGCACTGGTGGCACAGCAAAGCTCTCCAAGTGCCCCCATGCCTGTCCTCCTGACTTGCCTGACAGAAAGCCCACTGGGTTCTGCAGGGGCTCTGTGATGTGGAGGGGGCAGAGCAAGAATCATCACATCCCAGACTGGTTTGGGCAATTCCCAGCTGGATTTTTGGCTTTCTCAGGGCCACATCTTGCTAAGCAGCTCCTACCTACAGGTAGAAATCTTCCAGGCCCTACAAATCCAGCCAAAGAGGATGAAGATACTGGCAGTTTGGGAATGGTTCTGCAATGGCAAATTGCTGCAGGCCCAGCAGCTCTCCAAGCTCTCTTGAAAGCGTGGATGTCACCAGGCCACCAAACTGGCAGCTTACCTTGAACTAGCCAATTAAGGAAGCATTTTAACTGTCAACTCCATTTAATTTGTTCTTTTGCACTCTTCTTTTAGCTGGACTCTTGAGAGCACTGGTGTGCTAAGGCAGAAAAATACATCAGGTAAAGCTTGTGGTGCAGAAGTGGCAGTCAGGATCTGGCCCATTTCAGGTGAGACCAGCCACAGGAGGGGAAGAAGATCAACCTCTTTTACAGCAAAACAAACCACAGTGTCAACAGACAAAACTGCTGCCAACTGAATCTCTTTTTCTTCTGCACCAGATGTGTAAGCCTGGGTTCCTTGGGTGGAAGTTGGGCAAAGCCCTTGGTGGATGAAACCCACAGCACCCAAATTAGCGTGGAAGAAGAGGCCTTGGGGTGAAAGGCCTGAGAAAAAGAGGGGGAAAAGCCAGTGGTGGAGACTGTGTTGGGTCCTCAGAGACCTGCAGCCCATTCCTGGGGGCTGGTTTGGGCTGGGATAGGGACAGTTTTCCTCCCAGTAGCTGGCATGGGGCTGTGTTTTAGATGTGTGCTGGGAACAGTGCTGGTGACACTGGGATGTTCTCATTCCTGC